GCTATGACGAAAAACAGGCTGTCATCACTGTACCCCTTCTACCTATAACACGTCTGCTCACATATACCTTGTGGCAATATACCTCGCACTTTGTAGCATGATTACAGTGACACAAGTAAGCGTATTACACACACCACGACCTTTTGCGCTGCCCTTACTATGTGAGCTTCCTTCACAACAGCTTGCAGCCAGACGAACGTGGTTGCTTCTTCGAGAGGGTGACCGGACCATCAGACCTACATACATTGGTCTTCATTTTCAATTGCTATTCTAGCCCCCTTTAATGGTGTGCGGCATTGCTTTCTTGGGACAAAAAGAACGTATTTACCACCAGCATTCTCACCAGGTAATTATTTGATACACAAGATATTTATGTATCTTCTTTGGTCGTCACACATAGTACTTCACAGCGTTATTCTATACCACAAATGGTGGCATTTGGTCTTGCATTACTCCATCAGTTCGTGGCCCTTTCGCATGAAAAGGAATTTCAACACAATTGCTTCTGCTACATGTAGCCCCACCACCATTATGATATATTGTTCCTAGTCGCCTATAACGCTTCATAAATGCTTGGTGCACGTGCCTAAATCTTGCGTTCTTAGCGGTAGCTCTAGGTGATGTCTTTTCTTTTTTTGTTGAAAGGTCCGTCACATGGTGACCCATCAAATTTTGGTTTTCGGTGAAATATCAAAGTATACGCTCTACAATGCCTTATCAAACAAGAAAAGTTGGCTGTAAAAAATATTTCAGTGCAAAACGAAACGTTGAAGTCACCGTCTGTAAACCCTGCCCCCCGTAGGGGACCGCCATATTGCCGCAGCCTGTGTGACGTCATGTGGTTTGAGTAGTGGAGCTCTCCTCTTCTGTCTAAATTTATGGGGGGAAGGTGGAGGGCAAAATGGACTGGAAATGCCATGTTTTAAATTTTCGTGGCACAATACTTCAGCATTCTTCACAAGTGTTTATACAAAGTGGCGTGTTTATATGCGCAACGGAAGCAGTTAAAAACCGCGCCAAAGGTGCCCGAACCCACGATTGCACCTACATACGGCGCGAGTGCTTCCGGTGACGCGTTGTCGGTGGGTAAATGAATTATTTCAGTAGTTAAGTTGCTGATCAAACGGCGTGAGGCATTTAGCTTTAGTTTATTCATCATTGTCTTCCACTGTCAGATCGCGGTTTACATATTAAAAATTCACGCACTTCACCCCCGTGTCATAGCATCATTTGACACTGACTTTCTGCACAAATCAGTTGTGCACGTGCCGAAGAATAAAAATGAATATTGGAGCAGTAGAGTGAAAAAAAAACAAGCATACAATTATTATTATTTAAATCGAATCCCATATTCACAGAGTGATGGTGGTGCAAGGCCAAAATACATACACACCAGGTTGTCGTACAGGCCGATGTGGCGGTTGGTGAGAAGCATAGCAATCTATAATACATCCTTGTCACTTTAGCGCGTCACTTTTGAATTCCAGTGAAATTCCGCAAACGTGAAGTCGGCAGCCACTTTGCCGAAGCCCCACTCTACACCTTCCCGTACAGTGCTCATGCACTTATTGAAATGTTCTTGGTAGGGCTGCAAGTGGGCGCATCCACATGGCTTCAGAAGGAGAGGCTTCAGCGGGTATGCCGGGTCTCCATATGTAACATACTTGTCACACCTGCCAACCGTCATGAAGTTCTCACACAGAGCGGTGTCTTTCAGGATGCCAGAAACAGAACAAAAGGTTTCAGGTGTTTTGAACACAGACAATGAATGACTTGCACGTAACGTCACTGCCACAGCTTCGTCACGTACTGGTTCCCTAATATGGATGCCTTGATGACGTAAATGTGGCGCAATGACATCGTGTGGGACATTCATGTCACTGAACATGTGGCATCACGTTTCATTACGTGAATGCATATATTTTAAGCGGACTATGAAGCAGCGGGCAGAAAAAAAAGCTCATCTAGAGTTGTGTTCAGTCACACGGTCAAAAACTAAACGATTTATTCCTCAATATTATAGAAAAGGATCTTTGAGACGTAACTCAAATGAGGGGTATATAAGTAATTTCTTGTCAACCTATGAGAGTGGTGCCAATCGCAGCAATCTACATACTGCTGTTGCTTCTTTCGGTGCCTGCCCAGAAACTGAGTCTGTGTTCTGTATGTTTATGACACAAAGGCTTTCTTGTGCACCTGACTGTGATATATGCATATCATGATATATGATATATGATATATTGCGGAATAAAAAGAAACGGTTGTTCCGTCAGGCAAAGCAGACTAATTCGTTAGCCCGTTGGCACGTGTACAAATCTTTCCTTTCCGAATACAGAGCAGCTATCAAGGAAGCCAAGCGCGTTTTTCTTAATGATACCCTTCCTTCAATTCTTGTAACCAACCCTTCTAAGTTTTGGAAAACTGTTAAACCTAGGGAAAAGATAAACATTTCGCTTACGAACTCAGATGGGCAGCCAGTTCGCTGTGAAGAGTGTTGCATTGCATTGAATGATTTTTTTGTTACTTCTTTTTCAAGTTGTTCTGCTTCTGCGTTGCCGCAAATGCCTAGTCGTGATTTTTTACCCATGTATCCTGTTACCGTTGATGCCGTTGGAGTGCAAAATTTAATTCACAAGCTTAAGTTATCCTCTTCTTGTGGCGTAGATGAAATCAACTCAAAGTTTCTAAAAAACACTGCATTGTATTCATCAATTTACTTGTCCTTAATCTTTTCGCAATCTATTCAGACCTCCACTTTGCCGCTTGACTGGAAGGTGGGGAAGGTGGTCCCTCTGCACAAATCTGGTAACACACAGTCTCCTCTCAATTACAGACCAATTTCCCTAACCAGTGTTCCTTGTAAAATGTTAGAACATATAATTTACTCCAACCTTGTCTCATTCCTAGAATCAAATTCTTTTTTTACTCCCTACCAGCACGGATTCCGAAAAAGTTACTCATGTGAAACCCAACTTCTTTATTTTACTAATGACATAGGATCGGCTTTAGATCGCGGCTCACTTGTGCATTGCATTTTTCTTGACTTTCAAAAAGCTTTCGATAAAGTACCTCACCAATTACTCCTCCTGAAAATTAGTGTCTTAAACATTGACCCGAACATTCTTGAATGGATTGAATGCTTTCTGACTAATCGCACTCAGTTTGTAACAACTAATGGCTATAACTCACCTCTTTCTAAAGTAACATCCGGCGTACCCCAACGTTCCGTATTAGGCCCTTTACTCTTTCTTATATATATTAATGATCTCCCAGACAGCATTAAATCCGCTATAAGGTTATTTGCAGATGATTGTGTAATTTACCGCGAAATAAACAATGAATATGATAACCAATTTCTACAGTCAGACCTTGACACTGTCTCAACCTGGTGCAATAAATGGCTTATGACTCTCAACTCTAACAAATCTAAATGCATGTCAATAAACCGGCGATCTATTTCTCCCCCCTGTACTTACAGAATTAACGCCGTTCCCCTCCAGCATGTCTCTTCATATAAGTACCTCGGCGTTTACATTACCAACAATCTATCTTGGCACACGCATGTTACCTACATCTGTAATAACGCTAACCGAACGCTAGGATACTTACGCCGCAACTTTTCTCGCGCTCCGCTGTCCCTCAAAATTCTATTATACCGATCACTAATTCGCCCAAAGCTTGAGTACGCGTCCGCTATATGGGATCCCGTGCAGCAAAATTTAACTAACGCGTTAGAATCTGTTCAGAACCGCTCAGTTCGGTTCATTTGTTCTAATTATTCCCGTACTGCTAGCATATCAGAAATGAAATCTAACCTTGACCTACCCAATTTAACTGTCCGGAGGAAACTGGCGCGACTGTATTTTTTTCATAAGATATTTTTTCACAATCCATCAATGAAGCGAGACCTCATTTCACAACCGTCATACCACTCATCGCGCATTGATCATCAGCATAAGGTTGCCATTCCGTTTTGCCGCACCAAATTCTTTTCAGCAGCCTTCTTACCGAAAACAGCCGTTGATTGGAACCACCTTCCCTCTTCCGTTGTATCAATAACAGACCCTTTGTTATTCAAGACTGCAATTTCTCAGCAATGCTTGTAACTATACGCTGTTTCCATTATCTATCTTTGTTTTGTATGTGCTTGAATTCTTATACATTTTTAGTTGACTTATGTTGCCTTCCTGATTTGCGCATCTGATACTTGTTTCTTTATTTTGTCTTTCTTCTTGTGTGTTATATATGTTGTACCCACCCCCTCTGTAATGCCCTACGGGCCCTGAGGGTATTCTAATAAATAAATAAATAAATAAATAAATAAATAAATAAATAAATCTATCCTCAGCAGTGATAAATGCATGTCTGCGATAGAATGTCGTTATGCGGACAGACTGTTTCACTGCCTGAAGCAGATTTGGGTGCCCCGCCGCGGTGGTCTAGCGGCTAAGGTACTCGGCGGCTGACCCGCCGGTCGCGGGATCGAATCTTGGCTGCGGGGCTTCCATCTTACATGGAGGCGACAACGCTGTAGGACCGTGTGGTCACACTTGGGAGCACGTAAAAGTACCCCAGGTTGTCGAAATCTCCGAAGCCCTTCACTAAGATGTCACTCATAATCATATGGTGCTTTCGAGACGTTATACACAACATATCAATCAATCAATTACTGTCTTGAGAAAATAACATTGTTACCACACCAAAAGGTTAGTGCTCAGCTAGGATCGTAGCATGTGAGTCCTGACTCATGTACGTCTGCGGCACGTCAAACAATTTGCCAGCTACAACCAAACTTCATGCAAGCACACATTTTTACTTTGTGCACTTACCAGCATCGTGGCGCCATCTCTTGAATAGGCCATCTAGCTGGAAAAAAAATTTCATTGGCACACATAACGGCCTAGTAGTTTTGCAAATGAAACCACTTGTGTTCAGAGTAGTGCTCCTTCTGGAGCATATATATGCCCGAAAATTCGTTGTGTCGTGCCACCTATGAAGCCTCAGCAGGTCTTCACTGCAGCATCCTTTTGGTTCACGGCCTGAAAGCGACAACAAAAAACAGTCAAAAAAGCTGCCAATGGAATTTATAGACAAGTTCTGTTTTCAGATATGATTGCAGCAATAAACACTATCTTTGCTCCTTTTCATTGAGTATAGACATAGCAGAACAAATGCGACCAAACCCAAAGTTTTCGCTTGGCCCCACCGTGGTGGTCAGGCGCTCGGCTGCTGACCCGCTTGTCGCGGGTTTGAATCCCGGTTGCGGCGGCTGCATTTCCGAAGGAGGCGAAAATGTTGTAGGCCCGTGTGCTCGGATTTCGGTGCACGTTAAAAAACCCCAGGTGGTCGAAATTTCCGGAGCCCTCCACTACGGCGTCTCTCATAATCATATGGTGGTTTCGGGACGTTAAACCCCACATATCAATCAAAGTTTTCACTTGCACTTGAGCTTTTGTTTGGTTCATTTTACGTTACTGTCATAACTGTCCGCTGTGAAGGGAACTCTCCCTTTGCTTTTTTACAAATGATAACAGGAACCAGAGCTACTCACTGTGTCTCTTCGTACTGACTGGAGAATGAAAATTTGAATCATTTTATGCCAGGCAATGAATAACATATAATACATTATTAGGCATGTTAAATAAACAATTTAGCAATTGACAAGTTAAGAGAAAACACTTGAAGGTTCAGGAGGTTCATCCAGCTGTAAATTGTAAGATCTGGAAGCAGGTGTCCAGCTGTAAAGTAAAAGATCTGCAAGCAGGTGTCCCAAGTAACATTCGATGTGGACCATTACATTGAATACCTCACTCAAGATCACGGAGCTGTAGCAGTTCTATATCATCTCCAGATCACAAAGTTCATTTGGATAAGCGAGGCGCTGCACTGTCGTACGCAAAACCTCGGGATCTGACAACTGGACGCGTTGCACACTTATCACTTCGCCTGGAATGAGCATGTGAGCGATCAGGTCGTCCAAATCGCCTCTGTGGAACCTGAAGTTCCGGTTACATGGCATCTTGGTTCTTGTATACATGGCATCGATGCCTAACGAGAGGATTTCGCGAAAATTGCTCCGTGGCTACTGCTACAGGAACTCCGTAATTAATAAATCATGAATATTCTTCTATGGAAGATGATTCACTATAGGAAGGAATCTTAAAGCACACTCGTTGCCATATCGACGACCAATTCTTTGCTCCAAATAAAGAATGCGCCTAGCCGCTTAACGTTGAATAGTTGAACCAGTTGAGCGTTTTGAGGTGGCTACCTCAAGCCCTATGCGCGTAGCCAACTTCAATTAGTTTGGTTATTGAATAAATTATGAAAATTTGGTCTTTTATATATTACACTATATAATTATTTCTCCGCAGCGCCTATTGAATCTTACCTAAATGAAATAGAGCATGCATGCGTGCATACATTATCATCATCGTCTATTGGTTTACGTTGGAGCGTAAAGATTTCTGTGGAGCAAAACGTTGTTAAAACTCTGGTCCCAGTAACGCTGTAACATAAAGAAGTATACGCATCAGCTCAAAGTCACTAATACCTCAATTTCAGAGAGAGTTTGTTTATATTCACATTTTCGATGTTGGTATGTCCACGTTGTGGTCATGGGTTCTGCAGTTCTTGCGATTCCGGGTGGTCCACAGCTGTGAACTGCTTCACAAACGCACTTAGGACGCTTCAGTGCCTTAGTGTTCAGCAAATCTGCACTAGAGGCGAGAATTATTACCAAGCAGATCCACCAAGTGCACAGTCAACACACCGAGATGCCGTCAAAGAGTGTATGAACTGCAAAGTTTTAAGTGCTACGTGGGATTTATTTTTGATTGCAAGTACACGAACCCTCATAACAAAGATTATATAATGTATTATGCATAATCCGACATTGTTATGTATAATATTTACCATCATGTAAATGGCGAAGAATATGCTGCGGGAGCATTTTATTCTTACTTGACGGCCACCCGAACCTAAATAGCATTTCCTCTAAACCACTAGTTTTCGCCAGAAAAAGAGTATTTTCTTTGTAACCACTGCAGGTACCAAGTGAAAACTTTCATAACTTGTTTTTGAATAACATGCGCCCCTTTGAAGCAAAATATGGGCGCTCCCACTGCAATGTTTTTTTTCGAACGATTTTCTTAAAAAAAGCTTCAAAGTTTGTGCCATCAAAAAAGGAAATTTTTCACTAAATATTGGCCATGACTGGAATTATTATTTTGGTGATGAAGACGAGCCTAGGCACACTTATTAACCACAACAGTTTTCATCAACTTATATGCAAGACGTTTTTCACATATTTTTCTTCGAAATAAAAATGAAATAACTTATTTTTCATTATCTTTAGAGTGACTTCGCATTTTCTCACTAACTTCATAAAACATTTAGTGCAAATTGCCTTAAAGCAGCTTTTAAATTTGCTATAGTTTCCTTTATATATAACAAAGCGATAGGTAGTAGCAGTTCTAAACCTGGTCTTAGCTATCTATCCGCCCTTAAGCCTATCTTCAGTAAGTATCCTCGTAGCGCACGCCAACAGGAAAAAATGAGGGCACATGCAGACAGACCGAGCGCTAACTTCTAACATAGTTGGTTCTGAGAAACCAGAAAACATTCATTCAGTTGTCCGTTGAGTCACAGTCATGTGAGCACGTGAATAAAGGAGCAACATAAATAAATATAAGTGCAGCGGTACTTATATACACACTGATAAACTCATGTATTGCGCAGATACGTTAACTCTTTTTCTGACAGTGCTATCGACGACTGGCTGACATACACACATCGTCAAGTGCCACAATCTGCTTAGCTTAAGACGAGTCATTTCGCATTTGCTTCTGGCTATTATGCTTGTGTTTTCAAAGATAGGGGAACATTGATGCTGTTTACAATGTTGCGCGAGAAAACCATCAATAGCAATTTTTCCAACTTTATTTTTTGTGCTCAGGAAACCTGTCATTGATGCTTCTCCCTGATTGACCTACGTACCATTTTCCACAAGGGAGTGGCGTAGATGCCTGATGTCACACATTTGACAAACTTATTTCTGCGTTTTACTTGGCAGTTGGCAACAGACATCTTCCCTGGTTTTGACTGTCTGCAAAGACTCTGAAAGACGTTCCTGTTCTTTCTGGAAAAAATGAAAAAGAGATCATCACTTTAAACATAAAAGAAAACATTACATTTAAAGAAGCAAGAAGGAGAGTGTCGCCATTTTATGGCCCCACATATGCTGATGCGGCGCGCCAGAGGGAAGTGTCGCACCAGCCCTCGCCACTCCTTCAGCCTGCGCAGAGCGAGCCATTGGCTGTGGCGCCTGCCCCCAAGGCGGCAGTAGTTGAGTCTACTCCACTCACTACTGAACAGAGACCAGAGACTCCAGGGTCCTCGGGTCTCAAAGCCTCACCTCGCCAGGCGAGGCCCTTGACACGGAGAAGCGGGCGTCTGGCCAGAACTCTCCCTTGTCTGAGCCTAACCTGTCCCACTCTGCAGGAGTAGCAAGCGAACTTCCAAATACACCTTCTGTACCTGTAAAGGACGCAGAAGCAAAACAACATGCCATATCAGACGAAGAGGCAGACGAATCCTCCTCAAGACTCAACATGTACGGTGTGTAGTCTGTGCGCGATGTGTCATTTCTCAACACACTTGTCTCACAACCAAATGCACCGCCCACTCCCCAACCACAACCTCTGCTGGGTTCATTCTCATCTGCTGATGGCGACTACGTGCAAGGTGTGTTACCTCGCACTTTAAACAGAAGCGACCTTAATGCAAGAACATCAAGGTTGCCTCAGAGTATCAACATTTTGAGGCTTCATTCACGAGCGACCATGACCAGCCTCATAAACTCTCAAAGACTGGTACGTACAATTGTTGTCTTTTAGCCATGGCAGTTGGTGTCCACGAAGGTGCAGCTTCAAGACGTTGTAGCGGCCCGTTTCGCTCAGGTGGGCGAGGAGGGCCTCGGTTTTAGTGGCGAAGAATGGAAGGCCCACGCCACGTATAAGGCTATCCATTTCATTTATGGCAGTCTGGAAGCTCTCACGCACTTCACGACCATGGGATGTAGGTCCACTCGCGAAGAGCGCGACGTCGTCCGCATTTTTAACTTCTTGAAGGGTCTTGTCGATGACATCTTGCAAAGTGCACCGATTGTTGCTGCCCTGACGGCGCAAAAAGCAGATATCCTCTTCAATGTCAAACACGGGTGGATGCCCATCTTGCTTTTATTGAACCCACTGTTTCTCGGGTCAGAACTGTCCCATGCAGATAGCTTAATCTCCACAACATACCGCATCACCGATCCACCAACACTCAGCTGAGCAGTAGCTTCATCGTCACACCAGCATGGCGTCGAACACTGCAATTTGTGTGGCCTGAACCTCTCCTTGCTGTTCATCTCACGTCTTTCGTTTGTTGGCAATGGCACACCCTCAGAGATGACTGGAACGAACCGCAGCTCGTACATGTGTTTTGGGACAGCTGGCTTGTGCCGCAGCATCAAGTTTTCAAGACTCAAAGCCAAGTGGTTTTTTTGGTATTCTGTGAGATGGAGACCGTTGACTTCACCATTGTCAAGGATTCCCAGAAAAATAGTCCCACCTCTCCCAGTGTTCAAGAAGGCGCAGATAGTTCTTGAGATGGTCTGGCGAGAGTGCTGGTCCTTGCAAGCCGCCGACAGCTCTTCGATGGAGATGTCCTCGTGTGCCTTGAATTCAATACGTTGATGTTCCTCCATCCGAACGTGTTCGCCGAACTTGTAGAAATGTCGCTTACGAACGCCGGTAGCGTCCGCACGTTCCTCGACATTCTTCCCACCATCCTGCATCGTAACTTCCATCTGGTGCATTGTGCAGGTGTGACGAACCGCTTGGCAGAAGCTGTGGGGTTTCTGTGTGTACTTTCTAGGCCCTTTATTAACGGGATAATTAGCAGAAATCTGATTTCATTAAAACATTTTTCCAAAAAGAACTTCAAACGCCACCGAAAGACTGCTAATACCTTTTTTAGAACACAACAGTCCGCTTTTTTTTTTTGAAAAAAATATTTTGATAGCTTTAGGCAACTGAGAGATACAAAGTTAGGAAGAATTTAAAAAGGAACGTATATAAACGTTGGGCGCCCGTGTTTTACCTCGCTCAGAGCGAAAAGGGTGGCTCACTCTCGGGGGAAAGGTACGCCTGTCAGATCAAAGCCTTAGACCACGTGTTTCTTTTTCTCTTTACAATCGCTCGTAACATTGGTAATAATCCAGTGGGAAACTTCTAACTCATACAGTCTAAAGCCCTAGATGTAGCCCGGTCGCTACTCAAGTTTCATTAGGACAGGTAATAGTTCAGGAGCTATACCGCGATCAAAATAAGGCATAATCACTAAAAGATTAATTTGGTAACATAACCTCAAAAACATACTTAAATTTTGTCCGTTCATTATATTAATAAACAGCACCCAATAGGCTAACCGGAGGCCCAACTCCATACTCTCTAGGACCTTTATTAGGGCAGCAATTAGTAAAATCTCATTTCATTAAAACGTTTTTAAAATAATAACCACAAATGTGACCGATACTTCGCTGAAACCTACATTTAGAACACAACAGTCTGCTTCTTTTCGTGGAAAAAATTATTTCGATAGCTTCAGCCAACTAAGAGTTCAAGAGTTAGAAAGAATTTGGTGGTGGTAGTGGTTAGAAGATGAGAAAAGAAAGAACGTAAATAAACGTCGCGCCCGCGTCCTTCCTCGCCCTTGCTCGGAGCGGCAACATCCTGCAGTCGCCCGCAGGGGCGCCTGCGCAAGTAGGCGTTTGGTGTGTAGCGACACCACGGACCCGAGCTAACGGGGAAGTTTTGACTCCCTCCCACGCCTAGCCGTGCGTGGCTTTGCCGTGTCCGGGAAAAAGGGGATCCTGGGGGTTGAGCCGACGCTAGGTGATTGGACCTTTAAGGCCCCCCGGCAGAGGCAACACACCCCTTTGGCCCCGGCTTCACGTAGACGACACCCCTGGGCTGACCCACCTAGGGGAAATCGCCAGTCGCCTTTTCCTATCTCTCTTTCCCTACATCTTCGTCTTTCTTACTTTTTTAGCTTTCCTGTTTACTTCTCTCTTCTGCTTACTTCCAATTTTCTCGCCGGCAAGGGCTAACCCTGTCTCTCTCTCTCTCTACATCTTAGTCTTTTCTTGTCTTTAAATTTATCCCGTATTCTTTTCTCTTCCATTTACTTCCAATTTTTCCTGGTGGCAAGGGTTAACCTTGTGTATGTGCTCTGCCTTGAGCACAATATATTTGGTTATAGCGGCTGTATACAGCTGACGTTGACATGCCTCATATAAATTTAGGACTTGTCACGTCCCCGTGTTGGGCTCCATGGTGGGTGGCTGGCATGGCTGCCGAACTCACATTTAGTTTATGGCTTTTTCTTCTCTCCCTTCATTGCACGATCGTCTTCTCTCGAAGAGAGGGCGCCCCGAAGACTTTTGTAATTATTTCAGCAAACCGAAAAAAACCTTTCCCCGCTACCATGTAATCCATTGTGAAACCGCTGAAAAGAACGCCAGAACTATTTCGCCTTTCGTTGTTTCCAAATGCCTCACCACTACACTTGGACCAGGTTACCAGGCTACAAGAATGGCCAGTGGGGATCTCCTCCTCGAAGTAAAAAGTCAGAGCCAGTATGAAAACCTCTCAAAACTAGAATCGTTTGGAAACAATTATCTCAATTGCACCACACCGCTCACTCAACACTTCCCGAGGCGTTGTATCTGATCAAGACTTGCTTGACCTGACTGAAGATGAGCTCCTCGAGGGCTGGAAGGACCAGCAGGTGACACAAGCAGAAAGAATCAAATTTAGGCGTGATAAGAAGGAAATCCCAACAAAACACATAATTGTGACATTTTGCACCAGTACCCTGCCTGAACATCTCGAAACAGGATACTTGAAGTTGAATGTGAGACCCTACATTCCCAACCCACGACGATGCTTCAAATGCCAGCGTTTTGGTCACGGCTCTCAGAGTTGCCGCAGACAACTCACCTGCGGAAAGTGTGCCACCACAAGAAACGCTACGGACGAGTGTAAGGTGGAGGATGGGGCCCACTGCGCAAACTGCGATGGTGCCCATCCCGCATACTCCCGAACCTGTCCAACATGGAAAAAAGAAAAAGAAATTGTTACAATCAAAATCACACAAAACATTACTTTCCGAGAAGGCCGTCAACAAGTATCTGGTCTTTTCACAAACAAACTATCGTTCGCCGATGTAGTGCAACAGGGGGCAGCACTACAACGGCCTGCGGCAACTGCCCATGCCAGGCACAGTGTGCCCAGGCAGTCGCCAATGCCCCTACCCACGGCGGGAACAGCCAAGGCTGCACTATCACTCGTCCCCACGGCGACAACCACGGCCGCTGCAAGCTCTTGCAGCGGCCAGGGTATTCCAGCACCAAAGGAGGTTCCTTCGACCTCTAGCCCAAGAGGACCGAAGGTTTCGCCCCCCGAGGTGAAGGACACCCCAGGGTCGGCCTATATGAAGGCCTCGTCTCATCAGGCGAGGTTCCAAGCCCGAAACATCAGCTCGCGAATGCGGGCACGCAGAGCCTCTGAGGAGGCAATGGACACCACGGTACCCCTGGTGCCGAAAGATCGGCGTAGCTCCCTGGAGCACACCAAAAGAAATAAAAAACCAATAACGGGGCCCGGCGACGGCCCTGTTATTGCAGACACACCCATTTTTTCTTACACACAGCACTACGTTACCTCAAATATGGCAACAAAAATGATACATTGGAACGTCAGAGGGCTCCTTAGAAACCTCGATGATGTTCAAGAGCTCTTTTGCAAATATTCGCCGAAAGTGCTGTGTGTACAGGAAACACATTTAAAATCTAAAAACACGAATTTTTTGCGTCGGTATGTTCTCTTCCGAAAGGACAGAGGTGATGCTGCGGCATCATCCGGCGGTGTAGCCATTATTGTTAATCAAAAAGTAGCATGCACACATTTACCACTGCAAACAACACTAGAGGCAGTGGCTGTTCGAGCAAATCTTTTCAACAAGCTCGTCACCATCTCTGTACATACCCCCAAACCACCGTCTTGGAGAGCTAGAATTCGCGTCTTTAATAGATCAACTACCCGAACCTTATTTGGTCCTTGGTGATCTGAATGCTCATAGCAGTCTATGGGGTGATTCTCGCCGCGATGCACGAGGTCGTCTAATTGAACAGTTCCTTTTTTCCTCCGGTGCCTGACTGTTGAATAGGAAAGAGGCAACAAATTATAACCTTGCCAACAAAACCTACTCTTCCATAGATCTCAGCATCGTATCTCCCTCACTTGTACTTTTACTCCAATGGAAAGTTCTAAATAATCCCTACAGAAGTGACCACTTTCCTGTTGTTTTGAGTACACAAACATCATACGAATGTCCTCCATGAGTTCCCAAATGGCTTATACACAAAGCCGACTGGGAACAGTTTCATGACAATGCTCAGTTATGTTGGACTGACATATGTGGGCTAAGCATAGATGAAGCTGTGCAGTACTTCACAGCTCTCCTTATTAACGCAGTAGCCAAATGCATACCACAAACATCTGAACAGCCCGGCAAGCGACATGTCCCATGGTGGAACACAGAGTGTCGTAATGCGCGAAAGGAACAGAACAGGGCATGGAGGTTGCTGCGAAACTCGCCGACAGCGGAAAACCTTGAGAGCTTTAAGAAAATAGTCTCAAGGCAGGAGAACGCGTAGGCAGGCCAGAAGAGAAAGCTGGCAGAAGTTTTTGTCAGGGATCAATTCATACACACAAGAGGCTAAAGTCTGGAACATGGTCGGTAGGATAGCAGGAAAACAAGTACACACGCTTCCACTCGTAAACACTCAGGGTGATACCTTGGAAGATCAGGCAAACTTCCTCGGTGCACACTTTGAACAGATATCCAACTCGTCCCACTATACCGACTTCCAAAAATACAGAGCAAGATTAGAAAAGCAGACACTCGAACACAAAAGCACTAGATACGAGGCATATAACCAAGATTTCAGTCTAGCTGAGCTCTGAACATCTCTAAACTCCTGCAGCACTTCTGCCCCAGGTTCTGACCGTGTGGTGTATGAAATGTTAAAAAACCTACCAGCCGAAACACGAAAAACCTTACTTTGTTTATACAATGCTATCTGGTTTTCTGGCACTATCCCTACCTCCTGGAAAGAGGCTATTATTATTCTCATTTTGAAAGAGGGCAAGGACCCCTCTTTAGCTTCAAGCTATAGACCTATTGCACTTACAAGCTGCTTGTGCAAAGTCTTCGAAAAAATGATAAACTGCAGACTTGTACATATACTTGAAACAAACAATTTGCTCGACCCATTTCAGTGCGGGTTTCGAGAAAGCAGATCCACCACAGACCACTTGTTCATATCGAGGCACAGATCAGAGACGCCTTCATCCATAAACAATATTTTCTCTCTGTGTTCCTCGATATCGAAAAGGCTTATGATACAACATGGCGTTTTGGAATTCTAAGAGATCTGTCCTATCTTGGCGTGCGTGAAAGAATGTTTCACATAAATCGAAAGTTACCTGTCAAACCGGACATTCCGTGTCCGCGTGGACACGGTTCTTTTCCAAACATTTTTCCAGGAAACAGGCGTGCCATAAGGTGGTGTACTTAGCTGCACACTTTTTATTATCAAAATGAATTCCTAGCACTTGTCCATCTCCCGTAATATGTTCTATTGTACATATGTCGACGACGTCCAGCTTGGCTTCAAGTCATTCAACTTGGCAATGTGTCAGCGGCAGGTTCAGCTTGGTTTAAACAAGGTCTCCAAATGGGCAGATGAAA